TGGGCTGCCGCAGTCCCTGGCGGTGGCAGGCGTCTCAACCGTGGTGAAACCTGGCAGATTAATGTGGCCACTGGCACAACACAAGCCCGTATTTGGGCTCGAACCAATTGCCAATTTGATGGCTCTGGAAGAGGCAAATGCGAGACAGGAGATTGCCAAGGACTCCTAGAATGCAAAGCCTATGGATCTCCACCCAACACGCTGGCTGAGTACGCCCTTGGCCAGTTTAACAACCTGGACTTCATTGACATGTCCAACATCGACGGGTTTAATGTTCCCATGGAGTTCAGTTCCGACTCTCCCCAGTGCAATCGTGTGATCAAGTGTACTGCAGACATCGTGGGACAGTGTCCGGGCCCGTTGAGGGTACCAGGAGGGTGCAATGGACCTTGTCCAGTGTTCAAGACTGAGGAACACTGTTGCAACTCCGGTAAATGTGGACCTACAGACTACTCCAGATTTTTTAAGGAAAGGTGTCCAGATGTTTACAGCTATCCTAAAGATGATCAAACCAGTGTGTTCACCTGTCCCAATGGAACTAACTACAAGGTTATATTCTGCCCTTGAAAGCAGATAGCTAGAAGGCTGTACGAGTAGCAATATGTGTGGAAAAATAAAAGCTTGAAAAATGGCTATAGTTAGTCATTTTGAACACATCTCCTGATGTAGTGATGTGCCCTCATGCTGTTGTTCCAATAAATTAAATAATTCCACCCTATGGTTACAAATGACTTGGAACCTTGCACTCACTTAGCTAAATCTACCTTCTTAGTTCTATCTTTTCCTTAGCATGGTTAAAATGTATCTAGATCAATTTACAGGTATTTTAAAATTAAGTTTTTTTAATAATTTTAAGAGTATATCTTTATATCCACTTATTATAATTAAAAAATTAACTTTTCTTAATTACGACCTCTTATATAAAAAGACACTTGCCCACTTTATTTAGTTGATAAAATCTTTAGGTTCGGACCATCAAATCAAATTTGAAAATTTAAAATTCAACGAACACAGTGTCATATGGTAATACTAATACAGCATTAAGCTTCCTTAAAAAAAATTACAGCATTAAGCCCATTCCTCTTTAAATCTTCTGTGGACTCTTAATATGGGCCTTAAGTCTCTTGTTCATATTCTGTGGATTTCTTGCTCAAGGCCTTGTTTGTTCCGGTGGAAATTAAATTATCTAATTCACTACTGAGTGGTGATCCTAACGATGGGAAATTGTAACTAATGATATAGTATAAGTCATTTCATTAAATGAATTGATATATTATATTATATTATAAGTTTTAATAAAGTAGAAAAACTCAATCATTAGATGGTATAGAATTTATTTTTTAATATTTTGAATGACACTGCTTAAGTTATGTCATTAATTTCAAAACTTTCATCACATTTGTCATTATCCTTCACCTTAACATTACAGAGAAATCATTAAAATTTAAAGAGTTTGATGTTTTTTCAGTTTAGACTGGTAAATGAATTAAAAAATAAGTCTACACCTATATTAAAATAGTGTGACATAATTTATTGTGTATGTACATTATGTGTCAATGACATTATAGTCGAATCCCAGAGTTTTTATCACTATTATTATTATTATTATTAATAATAATAAAAAGTTATATTCACTAGTATGTATATATATTATGTATCTATTATATTAATTTATAATTACAGTAATAAGTTTTTTAATTTTTTAACATTGTAAAAACATATAAAATATATTT